CTTCTCCTCCTCCTCCCTTCTCTTTTTCTTCCATCTCCTGTTCCTTCTTTTCGGTCTTCTGATTTGTCTTCCTTTCCTCTCTCGTTTTTTTTAAACCCCTCGCCTTTCCTTCTTTCTCCTTCCTCCTCCTCCTCCTCCTCCATTAGGCAGGTTATAGGAATAATTAAACATTCTGAAGAGGATGATCATTCTTGTTATTATTGTTGCCTACCCACTCTCTAGAGAATCTTCTAGAATGTTGTTATCCTTCATAGGAGTTGTGTTTCGAAGTAGGCATTAAGGAACATCGAATTACGATGGTATTATCTTCATGGTTCCTCTCGCAGCCAGATGTTTAGATTGGATTTGGTGTTCTTTATCCACCCTATCGAGTCCTTCCCAAGGATTTGGCTTAGGCAGATGTTGTTGAAATCCTACTTTCAACCCTATCAGCATCTGCCTATTATCAGGGTTCATTGCACAGTCAGCCAGATGTTTAGATGGAACTTGGCCCTTTTATCCATCTATGGAGTCCTTTCCCCAAGGGTCTGGGGTAGGCAGATGTGGATCCTTGGTGGTGTTAAAGGGAGCCTCGCAGGATGTCAGCTCTGCCAAGCGGAGCTGCCTTTCGCAATTGAACTGCGGTGATTTTTTTTGTCAATGCCCAGGGCGTTCGAGTGTTTTGAAATTGCGCCCAAGGCGCCTATTACAAGTATGATTATTAAGCCCAAGAAACGGGGGGGGGGCCCCGGGGGGAGGGTGGCGCTGATATGGGGGGGGGCCAGGGCCCCCAACCCCCCCCCCCCCCCCCCCCCCCCAAATCTCTGTTTTGAAATCCAAACGTCTAAACAGAGAAATCCGGCTTGATCGATCGCGCCGCCGCTCCACGCCATGGGGACGGTCGCGGGGAAACTTCTCCTCTGTCCGGGTTAAGAAAAAAGAGAGGGGGGTCCCTCTGGGGGGGGCTCCGCCAAGCTTTCGGATTTGGCTTTCCTGTGAGTGGGAGAGGGCGGTGAATTCCCCGCCGACGGGCGCCGCCGTTTTCTTGACCCGAGAGAGAGAGAACGGCTGCCACGCCGGGGCTTCGTAACTGGGGGCTCCACGCAAATCCAGGAACCCCCGAATCGCAGGTTTTGTGGGTGCCTTTTATCCCGAAGGTCCCCGTTTCTCTCTCTCTCTCTCTCCCCGGCCGAAATGAATCCCGGAGGAAGCAGCAGCGAGCGTCCGACAATCGTAGTTTGGTTGTTCCAGAAAAACTACACTCTGGAGTCCCCCCACTTCTCCGCGGATCTAAACCTAAATTAACGCGCTTAGTCTTTCAAATCGCGGTTCCAGGATCCCTGCAAAATCGACCCTCTACCCTTCCTTTCCTTCTTTCCTTCCTTCTTTCCACCCTCCCTCCCTCCCTTTCTGGATGGCATAACCGCGTCTGAATTCTTACTCTGGTAAAGGGTTGCAGCTTGCTTTGTTTTTAAATCCAGACAACCTTTTGCCTTTAAAGTAGAAGTGAGATCTGGTCTCTTTTGCTGGGGTTTTTTTCGTTTTTCGTTCACCTCCTGCGTTTCTCCCTTACCGGGATGGGGGGAGGGTGGCATTTTCCAGGCAGGGCCTCTCATGAGTCCACCGCTTTGTCCTTCCTCCTTGCTCTGTCTTTCCGTCTATCCTTGCGGAAGGAAGGCCCCAAGTCAGCCTGTAGGCAAAAGAGAAAGCCCTCCACCCACCTTTACATTTCTGGCTTGCATGCATGTAAGCGAGCTGCCTGCAGGATTTTCCTCTTGGAGCTATTTTGTATTTCTTTTTTATTTTTCTTCCCAGGGTCCTGACATTTTTTGTTCATTGGTGATTAAGGATGAAGGCTTACTTTCTAATCTCTCTCCTTGCCTACCAATTATGGGGGGGGGGAGAGAGAGAGAGAGAGAGAGAGAGAGAGAAGGATTAAATCTGTTTTTCCTTTATTTTGTCTACACATGATGATGGAGAAGGTTTATTAAGTGTATATGCTGTCTGATTCCCAGTGATTTGTCATTAAGATGAGGATGAGAACGAGAAAGCCAAATTATGGATCCCTTGAAAGAGGGAAACTCCCTTCCTTCCTTCCTTCCTTCCTTCCTTCCTTCCTTCCTTCCTTCCTTCCTTCCTTCCTTCCTTCCTTCCCC